GGAGTTCTTGTTTCTTTTCCCAAAACCTCCAGAAAGATTTAAGAATCAGTGAAACCTAGGGGCTGGGGATTTAGCTCAGTGGCACAGTGCCAGGCTCAAGGTCATGAGTTTGATACTCGGTACCGGAAAAAAAAAAAAAAAAAAAAAAAAAAAGAATCAGTGAAACCTTGTTATGTGAAGAAAATTTTTCTCCACAGGCAAACTAAAGCAACAACACATATTGTTGTTGGGAGCATCTACTGTAGCAGAAGAGTCTTTGACAACTTCTGACAATCAGGGACCCTCTGTGCTCTGTCTTGCAGTCTGTTAACTTTTCTGGGTCCCCTACCCTCTGTCCTGATTCTGGGTCCCACCAGAGAAGGACTTGGGTGCAAAAAGTGTATCTGGGGAATAATTCCTGAAAACATACCAGAGAATTGGAAATAAACAGAGCAGGAAGGGAAATCAGTAGAGGAGCTATAACCAGAACTGCCTCTCCAATGGGCTAAGAAAATACAGTATTTATTCTCAAACATGTGTCCCCCATTGTTTGAAGGCTGCTCCTCTAGCTTCTAACTTGTTCACCTCTAACTTGTTGAACTTGTTGGCTACTCACCAAGCACGTTGAGACAAGAGACCAAGAAGCAGGCTGTCCAGGGGTCTGCTCACTACAAAGCCCTTCATCGGGGGCACAGCAAAATTAGAGGAGAAATGATACTTTTTCCTTTTTTATTGATGTATCTGTGCAACATGTTATTTTCATTTGCTTTGGGGATTTGGTAAATTTATATAACATATCTTGATCATTTTTACTCCATGAAATAGTATTCTTGGAACACAATTTATATCTTTTCATGTAGAAAACCATATGCCCTTCTCTTTCTCTCCCGGCAAAGGGCTTTGAGAGTTCTATAGTAGAAATCTTCAGCAATTTAAAGCAGGACAAAAAAATTTCAATTTTTACATACTTGGAAAAATTAGTTGCCTTATTTTGTTTAATTTTGCTAATGAGAGAGAAGTGAGAGGGAGCAAGGAGCTGTGTGTGTGTGTGTGTGTGTTTGTGTGTGAAGAGCTGGACTGTAAAACTTCCATACTCAGGTAAGCTTGGCTTCTAGATTTCACTCTGTGTAAACTTTCTCAAGCTGCAGGTTTTTGTTTCTGTTTTTCTTTTTTTTTTGTAAAATGAGGGAAGACATACCTCCCTGTCTGTCTCTCACAAAGTTACTATGTTGATGAACTAAAACACAATTAGGAACATGTACTTCTGAATACATATTTAAACCCAGAGTAAGTTCAATAGTGCTGCTAATTAATTGTTATTGTCGTTATTGTTATTTCTCTAATCATGCATTCCCACATTTCCATAACAAGGGAATGGATCGCATAATTCTTCCAGTAAACAATTCTTAAGGGCTGCCTGGCAGCACCATGAAAGGCCCTGTTCTGTTTTGCCCTCCACAGCCTTGATCACTTTCCTCCACTCTGCAGTGCCTCACAGTACAGCCTAGTTTCTTCTTATCCTTCTGTTAAACTTGAGACAAGTGACACACACCTGCATTCCCAGCGCTCTGGGGGTTGGAAGCAGGAAAATCACAAGTTTGAGCCCAAACTGAGCAATTTAGTGACTTGGTGAACATTCCTCTCAAAAAATAGTAATACTAATGAAAGGGTGCGGAATGTAACTCAGTGTAAAGGCCTTGGGTTCAGTCCCTACTACTGCAAAAAAATATGCTTTTACACACACACACACATGCACACACACACACCAGGGGCTTACATATTATGAATTTCTGACAAATATTTTACAATGGCTTATGGATATAGCTGATGGAAATTAAACTAATTTGGTACCTGCCTATGAGTTCTTTGTGGTGGTGTTCTACATGCTATTTCATTCAAAAGTTACAGTAAAGTCCAGTGAAAAGTTTACTATTCAAGCGTGCAAAATTGGTCAAGAAAAAAGAAAATTTTAAACATGGCCTGTTCCTCTCAATAAACCACAGACACCAGCAATACACCTATTCCAGCTATCTTTATATATAATATAAATTTTGTTTTTCATTTAGAAAAAACCAAAATAACAAAAGCAAATACATAACAAAACAGCATAGAGAGCAGCAAAAATGATACAGAATTTCAGAACATGGTGATAGGATATTAACAATGGTTATATTGCATAATGTCATCTTCAAAATGGCTGCACATATATCCAGATATAGGCTTGGAAGATTGATGAGATAGTTACACATTAACTGTTCCTTTCAATAATGACTCATCTGAAAACAGTATGCAGTATAAGAACTATTGTTGAATGCCTACCATCTTGTATGTGAAACTCTGCATCATTTCCAATGTTGTTTTATTTTATTACTTGTTACTGTCTTTGATTGTTCAATCAGTCTTACATTCTTATGTCTGGTGGACTGAGCAACTTCCTTGAAGATAACAGTATGTGATGCAGCAACCATTATTAATTCCTATCAATTTGTTTTGAAGTCATGTATCATTTTTGCTGTTTTTGTGTTGTTTTGATTTTGTCTTCATTGCTGTTTTGTCAGCTTTCTAATTTTTAAAATAAAAAAAGTTTACTATTACCTCTATGTTACAGATGAGGAACTAGATTTAGAGAAGCCTCGGGCTTCAGGGCTTTTTTTTTTCCTCATCTGTAAAATGAGGGAAGAGATACCCGCCTATCTGTCTCTCATAAAGTTACTATACTGATGAACTAAAACATAATTAGGAAAATGTACTTGTGAATGGCTATTTGGCCCAAGGTCACACATTTTTAAATGATCAAAGGTGAATTCAAATTCAAGTCTCTAGACTAGAACTAGATTTAGACAAGTTAGAGAGTGAAATGTAAGATCATCAGCACTTAGCTCCTATCTCTTAGTTTTGCTCTTCTCTGCCTTGACCTTTCTGAGCTTTATTTTCATCCTCTTCCTAGGAACCTTAAGGCATTTTAGGCTTATCTTCTACCAAATTAGTAACAGTATTAGAAAAAGAACTCCCTCTTATGACCTCAGCAAAAGCCCTAGGGCCAATTTCACAAGAGTAAGTTCATGTTCTTATCACAACATTGCAGATAAAATAGATTGTCTGGATGAGTTTGCTGTTTCCACCAACCCTAGCATCTTCTACCTGAACCCTTTTGCACAAGAAAATGAGGAGGGGTGGGCCGGGGGGGGGGGGTTTGCTACCAAAGAAGGAGGAAGAAATTTGGGACCTGCGTGTAATGTGTGTACTCACTACAGTTTAGGTATTGCCAACAGAAGGGATTGGCCAGTGGGACATTTGTAACATATGGACCAAACCCTTGACATTTCAAAGAAACTAACCCTAGAAGGGCAGCCTAGCCGGCCCTGTGAAGCATCTTTCTATTACAATAGCAAAACACTTCAGTTAATTTATTTATAAAGAGAAAAGGTTTATTTTGACTCACAAGTTGGCAGGTTTCAGTCCAGAATCAATTGACCCCATTGTTTTGGGCCTATGGTGAGGCAGTGCATCGTGGTAGGTGTGTATGAAAGAACAAAACCACTCTCCTCTTGGGCCTGAGCAAAACAAAGAGACAAAAAGGAAGGAGCCGATGTCACTTTATTACCTTTGAAAGCACCACCCCATAAACCTAAGGGCCTCGCACTAGACCCTACCTTCTAAAGCTGCCATCAGCTCCCTACTACACTCCTATAGGAACAAAGCCTTCTACTCATGCATTTGGGACATTTACAATTGAAACTATAGGACCCACCCAAAGTGAACCAGCTAGTTAGTGACTAACCCCAGGTGAGGTCTCCTGGGGTTACCTGGTTTTACCTCTCCTTAAAACATTCTCACAAATGTGTCGCAGACCCCTCCTCTGAATGTTTAACCACACAGAGAGGAAAGCTCCTACAATGATGAGGACTACAATGATGTCAGTCAATCCAGGACCCACTGTCTAGCTCTTTTTTTCTTACCCAGGGCCTGTCTGTTAGAGTACTTCACAATTCATTGTCGTTCTTTATTCTATTTCCATGGTTCTTTGTTTCTTCACTTTAGAGTTTTTTTTCCTAATCTTAGATGGAAGACCTTGAGTCATTGGTCAAAGTGAGTTTATTAGGCTTTATCGGAGGATATGAGTTTTCTTTTCATTTTCCTTGTGTGTGCACATGCATGTGTGTGGTGTCTTTAAAACTTCCACTTTTCCAAGGCTTGTTAGCAAAAGTAGGCCACCCAATGAGGAAGAAAACAAAGGCTTTGCTTGATGCATTTTTCTCTACTGGATATTATTTTATTTCTCAAGAAAGAGAGAATTAGAAGAAAGCTATTTCCCCCAATTTGCCATACCACTGTGGGAATCTAATTCAATTTCCTCTCAAATTTTGTAGTGAAAACCAAAAGTGTAGAATAAGGTTGCTGTCATGAAATAGCATTCTTTTACACAGATTTGACTTTTCAGACTTTCTCATCATAGAGCTCTTTATTCAGCCTGCTCATTTTAAATCACACAACAATACACCCAGGTGAAGAAGTACATCCTTTTATAAGTGCACAGGTACGCATATGGAGAACTGTCCAAACTTCACCTGACAATGTAATCTAATAAATAGCAGTGCTGTGGGATCAGATGTCTCTTAAACTTCTATCCACACCTTCCTGCATGCTGTGGCTTTGCAAAACCCAGGAGAATGGGAAATTTATTCCTGCTTTATTTTTCTTTTATCCCAGCCTCCTCTAAGAAAAAGGAAGAAAGTTATATTGTTTAATCCAAAGGCATATATAAGAAATTATCATGGTATAGTTTATATCAAATTGGGAATAAAAATGTAGGTGAAAGATTTTACTTGTGTGCTTCTGTAAATTGACAAAAGGAAATCCAAGGTAGCAGTTGAGAATAGATAAGTATATATGAAAACAGCTTGAATACATAAAAACCTGTATAATTTCTATGTTTCATTCAGTGAAAAGCACTAAGGAGCCCAGGGTGCAGCTGAGGAAACTGAGGTGGGGGCATCCAGTGGGCTGGTGGAGTTATGACCTAAACCCAGATCCCTCCTTCTTCAAAGTCCAAGGACTTAGCACCATGCTGCCCTCTCTTATAGAATTTGACTACTTTAACCCTGATAATGTGTATTTCTGGGACTGGAGACCCCTAAGTTTTCTGTTGCCCCCAAAGGACTTAGTGTATAAAGTTTACAGCCCATGTGCATATATTAAGCATCTGCAGTCATCCCTAACTACTAGCTGACCTTGAGTTAGCTTAACTGTAATTTAATGAGCTCTTTTCTCTCAATCTTTGGGATGGCTCATTGTACAAAGATGAGTAACTGTTTAGATTGCAGAATTACCTTGTTATATCTTTCATCCCTCAGACCTCGTATCTATCCAGATGCCTGTGAGTTTAGGAAGCAGTCACACAGCACCATCATACCCCTGCACTAACTTCAGACAGTGCATTATCTCAAATATATAAATTACTACTTTTATTTTATAGTCACAGTAGTCTAGTTTCCCTTGCTAGTTTGGAAACAGAAGAGGGCTATTTTTAATATTACCTAAAATAACCAGCAGTTTCGTAAGTCACGTAATCTGATACTGCACTATAGGCAAGTTGAGAGTGTCAAGTAATATTTAAATGGAACTTTTACAAGGTTTTTCATTACCAAAATGCATATGTCATTTATTGCCTAAACGTACACAAAAGTTTTCTGTTCCTTGTCTCTTCAACTTTTGTGGCAAGCCAATTGCCTTACATACTTTTTAAAAGACCATATGGCCATGCTGACTACAAAGGACTGATCAGAATCTTGATATCTACCTTTCTCACCCAGAGAAAACTGTGCAGCATTCAATTACTTTGTTTAGAAAAACAGCCTAGACCAATTGGGTTGCAAAAACAGAACTCAAGAGAAGAAAACCCTATCACCTAGGTTATGTTAGGGGGCTCCACATGCTTGTGAGAGAAATACCTCAACTGTGTGGAAACCTACCCCGTTGACTGGAGTCCTAAGGCCTCTTTTTTGTGTACATTTCTCCTGCAGAACAGGAATTTCAGCGCAAGCCCAAGTTGGTGGTCTCTGTTGGTCAGTTAGCATGTGTCTACTTTAAAAAATTATGTTACAAACAGATTATGCATTTCACATTGAACTTTGGCCATTGTATAGTTAGGAAAAACACATCTTCTAGAAACATTTTTCCTTACCAGTGATGTTACCTGCATTTTTCTTAACAAAGAAAAGAATAGTAGTAGACTACTGGAAAGATTGGAGCCCTTTCCTCACAGGGCAGCATCAGACCAGTCCCGTTGAACATTTGATGTCTTGGGCTTTGGTTTAATACAGTGCTTAATAATGCAGTAGTAACAATAACAGCATCATATGTTTACTAAGTGCTTACTACCTACCTGTATTTATGTAGAAGTTCAGAGGTGTGGGAGACAGACTCACCTTGACAGTGGCTTAAACAGTGGATATCTGTTTCTCTCTCCTTGCACTTTCTCTCTCCTAGACCTTGGTAAGTGCTGTTCATTGTGTTAGTCAGCTTTCCAATGCTGTTAGGAAACATCTGAGGTCATTAACATGTAAGAGAAAAGGTTTATTTTGACTCGTAGTCTTGGAGGTTCCAGTCCATAATTGTATGGCACATTACTTTGGGCTTCCAAAGAGGTCAGGCATCCTGGTGGGGGCATGAAGAGGAGAAATATCATTCATATCATAGGCCAAAAAGCAACAAAAAGAGATAGAAAGGGCTAGGGTCCCAAAAGCCCATTTAAAGACCCCTCCCAAGGATCTAAGAACCTCCCACCAGGCCTTACATCCTTAACGTGGTGCCACCTTAGAGACCAGGTCCTTAACACATGGACTTTGAAGTACACTTACCCAAGCTGTAGAGTCCTTATTTCTTCCGCTTGCCATCATCAGGGGCAGAGTTGCTCTTCTGATGGTTTAGGGTGAGTGCATTATCATCAGTGTGTAGATAACTGTCTTATTACTTTGCTTCCCTATGTGGTCATGATTGGATGTGAAAAGCATTACCTTGCTTTTGCTACCTAGTTGTTCAATGTTAAGTCTCCTCTCCTCTGCTCGACAGATTGTATGTTCTTAGAGGTTAGGCCTGTATGTTATCTTCTATTTGTATCACCTCTGCTGGTGTTACCTGTAGACTATGTCAATAGTTCATATGTTCAGAATGAATCAGTATAATCAGTACTAGTAGCAGTAGTAATTATAGAAATAATAATAATAACTAAAACCAACAATAATTTAGAAGTTTGTTCCAAATACTATCTTAAGGCTTGCATGCATTATTTTGTTCACTCCACAAATGTCCTTTGAAGCATATCCATTTGTTATTCCTGATTTATACATAAAGCATCTGGGGCTTGGCCATGCTTAGGAACACGGAATGCGTTTTCAGTGATGAGACTAAAGTTCTGGAGGTCAGCGGTCCTCGGTCGGGATCACTGTTCTGTCTTGCGTTTCTTAACCCCTTTATATTCAAATCCATTACTTGTAATTATTAGTGCCAGTCTCACAGAATGATTGTGAGGATGGTGTGAAATATTATGTGACATATGCAAAAAGCTTTTAGCACAATGTCAGGTCTTTGGAAGTATTCTGTCGATGTGAGCTGTATTTAGTTGTTTAAATTACTTGTTTATGGTCTCACAACAAGTAAGTGGCGAAGGCAGGATCTGAACTCAGGCTATCTGATTCCATCATCATCTCTAAATTATACTGTTGCTACTGCTCATTCCGTATGATGTGTTGAGATGGGAAATGGAAATTCATTTGAAGGAGGAGGTTAAGGAGCTACAGGAGCAGAAAATGTGTGCAAGAGGCATTGTCTAAGTGGTCACTTGTTTAAGAAATGTACTTACAAAGCTCCATTATGCGGTAACACATTTTCTAAGAATACTGGTATAGCTGGTGCTAATCCAAAGCAGTAGATGGAACCACAGGCTGAGCCCAGTCTGGTGGTGCCTGCAACATGCCTTTCAGTGGCACTGGGAAAGGGGTTTTCACTCAATTCCTTAAGTAAGCAACATCCTATTTGTGCAGATTATTTAAAAGTGTATGGCCATGTGAATACATCGTTACAGTCTCCCTGGGTCTTAGAAGATTCCTGAAACTTAAACTTTATTCACTTCTCCTGGAGCAAAAAGTAGCCAAAAGCTGATCTGCAAGCCAGCACACCTGGCATCTCTTCCTGTTTTGCTTCTCAAAGAGCCAGTTTTTTCTTGTCTTCGTACCTCTATTTGAAACATTAGCAATACACTATACAGACCTCTAACTGGCAGGAAATTCTGGCGGATAACATGATTCCTAGAATAGATGTATTAAGTTATAAAGAAAAACCAGGCAGACTGCATGGGTTTTTCATACCTACTGGCAGGTGGCAGAGAACTAAATGTTGGAGCCTTTTTATAAGCAAGATTAAATTGACTCATGACAGCTGGTCACTAAAATACAGGAAGTGCAGGCCTGGTTGAAAGCAAGAACACACTGGTGTTCATTAAGTTTGTGTCACAGAATAGAAGCCGTTCTTCTCTTTTAAAGTTTATCTTAGCGACGCCTTCACTTGATAGCGTTTGCTATTTATCGCTTGCGCAAGAGTGTATCTTCGATGTACATGCAAGTCAATTGTTTCTGTCAGCAGTGTCTTGGTTATGAGTTCTTTGTGTGTAAACATAACCGGTGAGTAGGCTTAGCACTCCCTGATGTCAGATATTTGACTGCTGGGGAAGCCTTTCCGGTCTCCTCTTGTACAGCTCCTTCCCCACCCAATGTGATAGTGGACATCGGAGCAGGATGGCCATGGGAACGAATAGTAAATCTGTCAGAGACAAGTGGGAAGCCACAGAAATCTGCCCCGCACCCATCACAAGGCTGGAGGTCGCAACACCAGGAACTGAGAGCAATCTCCCAGCATTGAGAAATACATTTTTTTTTCCCATTGGAGGAAAAATCACTCTGGCAAAGGCTCTAAAGGATTTTAGCTTCTGATTGGAATGGGAGTGATGAGCATCAGCTGAGCTGTGGAAAATGAAAGGAACTATTTTCAAATGCAGGCCAGCGTTGTGGTACCTCAGCATTCACTTTAAATGCTTGGCTCCCACGCGGCATTGTCAGGACGATGGAGAAAGACAGCCCCAAAGCCGCACTAGGCCACCAGATTTGCTACTAAGGATGTGAGAGTTTTAGCCAGGGCCCACACACTGTTCCCCTAAATCTCAGCCTAACTAAGGTGGTCATCTTTGCATGAATAGTTGAGGCTAAAAGATGCACATTTGAGAATAATTTTGCTGCACAAATGCTTTGTTTTTTCTCTCCCTTGAGCAGAGTTCTTTTCTGGGATTTTCAAGATTGCTTTGGGATAGCTCTTACATTAGGTTTCAGTCATCTGGTAAATGCTCTGGAGTTTAAATTAAATTAAATTGGGTTTACAGGATCTTCAAATTTTTATAGAACTCCATTTTCCCAACATAAGGTCAGTTATGAAAACCAGTGAAGTGGACGTGTGGCAGTCTTCAGCAAACACCATGGACTGTGGGATTTCATGCACTGTCTATTAATTTTCTGTTATTAGCCCATTGCCATGCTAGACATAGCAGAGCATGCACATGACATTCCTTCTTTGAGGATGTGATTGTTTATCATTCATTTGGCTAATCGTCAGATTTTCCTGAGTACCAGTCAAGCACCTTAACTCGTGCTAAAGCATTGCACGAAATGACACAGATATGGCCTCTGCCCTCTACCTTGTATTCCAGTGACAATAGTCGAAGAGTAAACAGTTAAAATAAAGCGTACTTCTAGTATAGAGGGCACGGCTTCATTTTGTAATTAGCTTTGCCCAGTGTCTTGGGAGCATATAGGAACTTATCCTGGAAGAATGGAAAAGCATTGTTATGGTTGACCAGCAGATGTTCATGTTTCTGTGTATTTATTTTGTTTATTTTTTATTTTTGCTTTTGTAGAGCTAGGGGTTGAACCCAGGGCATCTGTATGCTAAGCAACTGCTGCCCTATCACTGAGCTACTCCCTCAATCCAGATATTTTTTCAAATATAAAGTAAGACCCAAGTACTGAGATATCAAAGATCACAACTAAAGGAAAGAGTTACCCAAATAAAAGAGGCAGCAGGGGCTAGGGATTTAGCTCAGTGGCAAAGCGCCTGCCTGGCAAGCGCAAGGTTGTGAGTTCAGTTCCCAGTACCGAGAAGAACAAAAAAACAAAAAACAAAAGAAAGAAGCAGGAGTAGGAGAGTACACTGCTGTAGACAGAAGAAATAGTCTATATGATTACCTGAAGGCAGACATTGAAGTACTAAGTGTACGGTTTGGAGTTGGGGAAGAGACAAGGGGTAAAAAGCAATGAGACTTGCCCTCCGCGTCGCAAAGGAAGGCAAAGCAACAGGAAATTTTATACTAGTTCTAAGGAAGACACAGATATATTTGTATAAAAGATTATTTTGACTATTATGTTAGGTTTGGTCAAAAGGAATATGACTGGAACACTAACTTCTGCTTAAAAGCTGTTGTAATAGGTCACATTTCAGTGAGCATGATCACACCTACAGAAGTGGTCTTCGTTGGACTGTACAGATTTGTGAGATAAGCAAGAACTAGAAATCTCAGGACTTCGTCACAGCTTGAGTGATGACAGGTTAGATGCAGTAGGAAAGGGAAATGGAGGAACCATGCTTGGCTAGCTGGGTAGAAGCGGGTACATTTCACAAGACAGCATTTCCTGAGGCAGAAAACACAAAAGAAAGAATAGGTAAGGGAGGAAAACCAGAGTTCAGTTTTGGGCATGATGTGCCCAGGAGGCATTTTGATGAATAAATTTGAAGCCCAATAAAGAGATATATGATGGAGATAGAGACATAAGACTTGTTAACATATTGATCAGACATTCTTCTCCTGGTGAGAGTGGCAGGAGGGTGTTCTATGGATGGGTGTAACTAACAAAGAATTGCTGAATCTCCTAGAATGTTATCAAAGATTTGAACTTATTTTACATATATGTATTTAGGGGTTGAAGAAGATGATGAAAATTTGCTTTGAAATGTCTGGAACTCCAAAAACATTAAATACCACAGGAGAAAAATGAAGGGATGGCCTAGATAAGAATCCTCAGGGAGAGTGTGCTGACAATTCTGGGCCAGAACCCAAGAAGAGCACCTACAGAGAAAACGCAAAAAGAGGGTCCTGAAAATGAGCTTGAGTGTCCACTGGGGAAGCAGCAGAGGAAATAGAGTGGTCCACAGAGTTAGTTTCACTGAAGATCAAATAATGCAAGGAAAAGTGTCCATTGGATGTTTTACAAGGAGGACATGGGTGATCTTTTTTTAATTTTAAAGAGAAAAAATATAAAAATAACAATGAAATAGAGTTTCAAAACAGGTTAGTAGGACAGTTACAATAATTAATACATAGCATATTGTTATCTTCATAGTAGCTTTTCAGAGTATAAGATATAGGCATGATATCTTATCCATACAATATTAGCACAAACCTTTCTTTTCAATGAACTAAGAGAAACTACCTGTATATCTATCTTAACTATCTTGTATATACATATTTTTTCTTTTTCATTTTTTTCTTTTCCCCTTTCCCGCATCACAGATTGTTCTTTCTTTTGAACAATTTCTTCCCAGCTCACAATATCTATTGTACATTTTGAATCTTATTTATTCATTGTATTTACTAGTTGTCTCACACTAGTGAGGCAATATGATGTTTACACAACAGGTTCTGATTTATTTCACTTATGAGTATGTCTCGAGTTGCATCCATTCACCTATAAAAGTCTCCAGTTTATCCCTCTTTATGGCTGAGTAGTACTCCGTTATTAAAAATACACATCTTTTGACATAGAGACCATGGGAATAGTATGAGATAAGGAAGTGGAGGTGGAAGACATGGGAAACTCAAGAAGGAAGAGAGGGGTATATTGAGGAGGTAGCTAGAGAAGATCAGGTATAAGGTGAATACTGATCCCACCCCAAAAGATGGGAGACATTTGTGCAATGACTAAAACAATTTAAAAGCACAAAGAGCATTTGGTAGCAATTAACCAAACCAAAAACACAGAAGCAATTAAGGAAATCAGAAAAAAATAAGATTAAGGTGTCTATGGTGATCAGGAGAGACCTTAGGGAAAGGTTCTACATTGACTTGAGCTTTGAATGAAGCAGGTGAGAATGAGCCAGTCACTGAGAGAAATCCGAATGAAGTAATACCAAGCAATTCATCTATTCCCCTTTACTCCCCTTTATTATTCAAAGAATATTTTCTCAGCTAATATAGTGTCTTTAGAATAGAAATTGCCTGTTAACTCAGAGAGTGGCTCCCAGTATGAATGTATTAAAAGTTACAAGATATATAATCCAATTTTACAATTACTACTTGCATTTTTGGTCTTCTTTGGGGTCACATTGCTCATTTCCTCATTTGGAATTTTTAACACCAGATAGGGTGCTAAATCAGTATACGCTGGTGCTTCTATCACTTAGGTTTTAAACATCTTCCCTATGTATGAAAACACCCATAAATAAAAGTGCTAATGTCAGGAAGGAAAAAGATCCTTTAATAAACACACTAGCACAAGTAACTGCCTACAGAGAGGAGATCATTATAGGACCTAGCTTATTATTAAACATTGTCTTTTGAACTGAATTATATTTTCTCCTACCATTTTAAAAGACTGTGTGAAAATGTTAATTTTGAAAGGTGCTCTTTATATGTCTAAATTAAATGGTATTATTTTAATGGTAGCCTGTGTGCAGTTGGTAAGTACCCAGAGAGCAGAGTGTAGCCAGTACTGATACAAACTGTAGATTAATCCTAATGAGGCTAAGGCTTCGTCTTCCCAGAGAGGCTTGAGTGGATGACCATTGCTTCTGCAACTTCACCTTCTCAGAAGAGAGACCAGAAGTTCTCCATCACAGACTGAGTCTTTCTTTTCTTCCTTGTTATGAGTGGGGGCCAATGTTCAAACAGTTCACCAGAAGAGAAACTCGGCCATTGCTATGTAGACATTCTAGAAAACAACTGTGATTGTTAAGGAATTTCATTTTGCTACCTTAGAATGAATATTGTGTTATTTTTGCCATTTCATAACATCTGCCCGTGGGGGATAGATGTATATCACCACAGTGTTTCTTGGTCTTTGTGAAATTTGAGTTTCTATATTTTTGTCTTAGTTTGTGAAGGATGCTAGGCTCATTTTAACACACACACACACACACACACACATACACACACACAATCTTTCAGGTTCTGACTCTAGCAAACCCTGGTATTGCACCCCCCACACACCAGCCTGGAGCCCAGGCACTCCGTATGTGAATATTGCTTCCCAAATACGTTCCCCTCATCTCTGGTCGTGATTGTTGTGTCAACTTACACTTTACTTTTCCAGAGGATGTGCCCCGTGCTTGTTGTGATGCAATTTATAACCTGCTGCCTCAACAAATACCAAGTTGGCCTTTGCAGTTTTATAGTCAAAGGCTTTGAATAAGGGAGAGTGTTTGTGTGGAAATTGCATGTTCCACTGTTGCCGCTCATACATCACGGACAGCAAAGGCAGAGCCGCCGCTGCTAATGACTTCAAACCCAGCCACACATCGAGGTTTTATTTTCTAGGATTCTAAGCACCTTTTATTAGAATCCCTTGGCCTGCTTCTGAGGGACTTTTGTGATGACCTTCGGTGCAGAGAGTGAGAAATCTGAGGATTACTGTCTCACTTCCCCTCAAGTCGGCAGGAGGCCCTGGTGCAAAGCCCTTCTGATCTGAGGAAATGCCATTTTTAGTGTCCTAAATGAGAACACCTGATTGCAACCTGTCACAACGGTTGAATAAGACCAGCAAATTGTTTTAATGGTTATCGCTCTGTTTTAAACCAATAAGAATTGTCCTGATGGTTTGAAGGAAAGAAGATAAAATGTCCTTTAATTGTTCTCATGATCTTCAGATGCAGTTGTTATAAATTTGGTAATATCAAAAAAAACTCCCTAGTGACAATATTTTGGGTTACTGTTGGCAACCTCTTGAATTAGGAACACAACTTCTGTTGAGCGCCTCAGGCCTCCACTGAACTGACTGCTTTTAGGCTTCCTTGAAGTTCAGGGTGAAGATGGACGGCACTGTTTCAGTCACCCCGCTCTGCCCCTCTCTCCCACAGAAGGCACTTGTTGAGAGGCCTCGGGGACTGCGTCTACAGATGTGCATTTTTCCCAAATGTCTCTGTTAGCGTCAAAGCGCTGCAAGTTTTGAGAGCCGCAACTCTAGCACGACCACAACCCCAGACCACTGAGACCAACCTGACTAACAGTAACTATCTTTGTCTCTCCTCTGCCCAGGTGCAAGTGTAATCTCCATGCCACTGTGTGCGTGTATGACAACAGCAAACTGACATGTGAATGCGAGCACAACACTACAGGTCCAGACTGTGGGAAATGCAAGAAGAACTATCAGGGCCGACCTTGGAGCCCAGGCTCGTATCTTCCCATCCCCAAAGGCACTGCAAATACTTGTGAGTAACTTTGCTCAATTACACCATGTTCTGTGCATGGTGAGCTACTAGTTCCTCTCAATGTCACGTGCATTTGTGATTTTACTTCTCTTACCGTGGTCACACTACTTGTCAAAGTGCAGCTACAGTTGTAGTCCCTGTTGTATCACTTGTAGCCATGTTTAAGCACTCTGGTCAACTGTTAAATTCAGTCTTTGGTGTTCATATTAAAGGTGTTGGGAAATGATTCTTAAAGTCACAGAAGCAATTTTTTCTTAATGGATCAAACAGGAGGTAATTTTTCCTCCTCCCTCAAGTTAATTTCCCAGTAACACAACAGAGATTGAAACTTCTCAATCGTAATTATGCATAGACAACTTTCAGAAATTCTTCCAGTGTTTGTAACCCCATTTCCCACAATGGGTAACCTGAGAGATGCTCACAAAGCAGGAAAGAGACCCTCTTCATTTGAAGCTAAGATCTAATATTGCCCGGTGAGATAATTGGCTTTTTCCAAACTCTGGTAGTTGAGCCAAGTTTGCCATGGATGCTGGGAGCTGAGGCTCTCTTTAGGTCAAAAGCATGACAGCAGGCCCCTAGGTACCACATTTCAAAAGAAGTTTTTGTGTAAACATGAAAGGGAACAGGATTATATGCGTTCTCAGGAGTCATCCAAGATGCCATATTACTACTCATGTGTGTGTGCCCTGCTGAAATCCATGAATATCCAAAGGAAATCACACTGTGACATGCTCAAGGAGAAAAGTGATTATTTCCCAAATAATTTGCCCCAATTCTGTGGCGGGAATGATTACCTACCTGCAAAAGCCTAAGGGTAGCCCTCTTTCAAAAGCAGTGAAAAGGCAAGTAAGCATATACCCACACAGGAGGAAGCAACAAGAACAGCAGTACAATGAGCAGAGGACAATGGGAATGTGAAAAGCCACTGGCTCTGTGCAAGGCTAAGAATGTTATCAGGAACTTCAAAGCAACAGCTGTGAGAAGCCAAACCTGAAAACTAATATCACAAGAACCAGGACCTTATCAAGTTAAGTGTAAGAGGAATGGAGCAAGTAACAAGCCATGAAGTGTGGGGTCATGAAATTATGATAAAATTTCTGTGAAACAGAAAAAAATTCTTCAAAAGGTTAGCAAACCTCTCTTTTGAAGGTGTGTGGTTTCTTTCTGTATTGAAGAAAAACCTGACTTCTTGCTCTTGAAATTAATACTTTAAAGCTGCATTGAGCAAGAATGTTGATTTTCCAGAATGATTTTATTAATGGAGACTCTGGGATTTCCTCAACTGCTGAGAGCTGCAGGCTCATGAATTGGAAAGGGATCCCATAAGGTTATTTGTTGCAATGGCCTGTGGCTGCCTACCTGAAAACCTCTATCGCCACACTTATCAAATTTAAAACTTTCCCAAAATGAAAATGGCTCAGATTTCATTTTCACATTCTACGGCATTCCTTAGGGGGGCGGGATGAAAGAGAATGAAGCTCACAATGCATGTGTTCTGGCTCCTCCTCGGGGCAGGCTGACAGGCCAAGACCGCTGGAGACACAGCTAGGGTAGGGTGCTGATGGAGGCTTTGGCTTCTATTCTAACACGACCTTGTTTTCCCACCCATACTTGTCTTTCAAAGACTTTGTTTATTTCAAAACATTTTCACTGGGAACACATTCTCGTGTCAGTCAAAGCCCTCTCACACAATGAATTTCTTGCTCTGTTCTCCATAGAAATCTGCACACTGCTAACCCTTTGCATATTGAAGATCAGCAAGTCAGTCCCCAGCTCGAAGAACGCATCTTCCTTTGATTTACATTGTAGGTGCAGTTATTCACCCAGACCCTAGTTTTTATGGAACTTCTCTAGATTTCTTGACTTTTTGACATCTCCATTAAGCTAGGAAAAGATGTTTGTGTGTGTGTGTGTTTTTAACAGATGTAAACATGTGCATATATATATATATATATATATATATATATCCTCACAGAGACACAGAATATGTCATATACAACTAACATTAAATGTCAAGCTGAAGAAGTGAAAAAAGGGGGACTTTGGTCCTTGATTCTTTAACATCTACCCCTCAATGTCCTAGAAATGCCATTTGTATAATCTCTAGATTTGCCAAATGTATAATCTCTAGATTTAACAAAATCGCAAGAAGCCAGGGGAACTTTGGGTAGAATGTCCATTTCTGCACACCACAAGTGTACAAAAGAGACGGACCAAGAGATGGAACCAGTGTTTAAAGGGGTTCATGTCAGTATTCCAATCACCAATGTGGAAATTTTTCTTTTTTTTGGGGGGGTTTTTTTTTTTTTCCGGTACTGGGAAATCAAACTTATGACCTTGCGCTTGCCAGGCAGGCGCTGTGCCGCTGAGCTAAATCCCCAGCCCCTATATGGAAAATTTTTGATGAAAGATTTTTAGAAAGTATCTGCAATGGTCTGGTCTTGCAATGGAAATACCTTGAAATCAACAAAATCTCCAACACATCAGACTGTGCTCAAAATATCCCAGAATGGCAGACAGTAACTTAACACTTAGGTGCACATATTCTAGGATCGAAGTTACCTTCATTTACTAGCTGTGTGACCTTGAGAGAGTAAACTACCTTCAACATCCTATTTCCATTCCACATTATGGGGATAATAACAGTTCTTACCTCATAGGGATTTTGAGAGGCTTGAATAAGCCAGCACATGTTTAATATGTTTAGCATAACACCTGTCACAGAATGAATGTTCAAAAATAATTTTATTTTTAGGATTTTTTATAAAGCATTCTTGTCCATTATTAGACAATTTTAACTGTTACCAAAATTATTTCTTAATATCAATGTTGGCTTATGTCTAACTCCTGTGTTTGATCTTTTCTTAAGTAGTAAAAGAACTAGATTGACCATAGATTCATATCTCAACCAGGTTAACCATCATCCATAATTCTGTCCATTATTCATATAACAGTGTTTTCACATCTCTTATAAGGTCGCCTGTCCTAGAAGTCATTTAGTTCACTAGTGTGGTACTTCCAGCAAAGCACCAAGCACCAAGCACCAAACTTCCTGAACTTTTATGATTCTCCTTTCATGCTGGCTTTTTCATAACACACACACACACACACACATACGTGCCCACACACAAATGCATCCTCACAGAGACACAGGATATGTCCTATCCTAACATGAAGTGTCAAGCAGAAGAAGTCAAAAAGGAGGGACTGCAACCCCTGGTCCTTCAATATCCTCCCCCTCAATCCTTCCCCCCTAGGAATGCCATTTATTACTGGATGATCTCTAGATTTAGCAGAATCTCAAGGAGCCAGGGAAACTTTTGGACAGGAGGTCAGTTTCTGTCCAGCACCACAAGACCAGGAAGCAAAATAAGAGACTTTCATTGAATCTGCAAGATTCTTCTCTAAAGATACTCATCCTGCTGCCCAAGGGTATCCCAGAGTGGACAACCCTTGGGAGTCATTGGCCTTTGGAGGTCCAGTATTCAAAAAGAACTCAAGGGCTCTGTTTTGGGGACCATATCATGCTGAGGAAGAAGAATATATAGAGCAGCAACATTCTAAAATAGAGCCACCATGGTCTGCAAGATACACTATGTTTCCTTGTGTTGTCGCTACAATATACTTGGCCAAACCAGAGTATTACAAACCTTTGTGGTGGTGTTTCTATTAGTCGTGTTTTTATTCAAGAACCAGTGTGTTTTCTTGGTCTTTAAGACATATACACATGTGCAAAAAAATCTTTTTTAATTTTTTCACACAGCTCATGTTTTGAAGAAAGACATCTTTCTCCTTTTCCTGATTGGTCTTCATTGTATTTTCAATAGAATTTTATTCTGAATGTCATTTGAACTTTATTTTTGTCTTCCAAGTAGATAGCAACTCTGTCCCACTTCATACTTCTTCATGATTGTCTTTATTCCCATTATCCAGGTAAAGAATAAAAATGCTAAGTCATGATCTTTAAACTCTTACCCCTGTGGAATAATGTATAACACTTTTTTACATATAGAGGGTAAAACATAATAATTACCCTGCAGAAACCATAGCTTCAGCCAAGGTGATGCAATATATACACTTATACTTCACTATGTTCTAGAACCCTTAGAGGCCGGTGATATAGTTCAGTGACACAAGTGCCTGCCTGGCAAGCAGAAGGTCATGAGTTCAATTCCCGGTACCAAAAAAAAAAAAAATGTATATATATATATATAACCTTTAGAAGAATTCTATGGTAAAATAAAGCTTAGCAAATTCTGTACACTACACTCACTTTAGATAGTCAGATTACCTTATTAAAACATCTAAGAAGTCCTACAGTAAAGTAACCTATCTTACCCTATATTCTCCAAACTTCCTTGTTCCATGAAACGCTTAATAAATTTCCCCGAAATACTCTTTTGGGGACATGCTGCTCTAAACAATTTCTTGCGGCCTAATCATGGAGACAGACAAAAAGCCCAGCTACTTCAGCTATATTCAATCTTTTACTTTCCTCTTACCTAGACAGTCTAATATTCTTCAAAGAAAGAAAATTAAATTGGCTTGACATTGACATTATTTGTTTGTTCAGAAATCCAACTTGAATTGTTACACAGTATCTAGGGCTCCTCTGAGTGATGGGAAGTAATTTGATGATTGTTCTATTATTTTCTCTGCTATTAAATTTGCATTGACTGATTTCTACTTCCCTGGTGTACACACGGGTGTGTCATTACCCAGACAGTTTTCTAAGTGTTTCACATGCATTAGTCCATTTCAAACCTATACCACTTTATAGTGTAGATGCTGCAATTTCTGTTTCACAGACATAGAATCATAATCACAGGGGGACAGTGTCTTGTTTAAAGGTTTACACGTCCAGTAGGGCTACGGGGGAAATTTGAACCCAGGTGTGTCGTGACCCCTAAGACTTCACATTGCATCGTGTTGCTTCTCAAGTTCAATCTGAGGGGCTTTCTCTGTCCACCAGGCTCTGTTTTGACACCTGACTAAACAAG